ATAAATAGCTAAATAAAAAGTTTTATTATAAATTAAAATAATATAAAATTAAAATAAAAAGTGAAAATTTTTACCATTTGTTTTTAAATGTTTATTATTATCTCTTTTATTTTTATCATAATTTTCATCTTCTTTTATTTCAGAAAGTAATTTATCATATTCTCTACTGATAAAGAAGTTTGAATATGAATACATTACTTTAAATGTTGTCAACAACATTTTTTTGTATTAGTAACTTTATAAGCATCATCTCCCTTTATATTTTTGCATTCTTTACAAATGCAAAGTTTATTTGTTAAATTACTTTCTCTATATTCATTTAAAATTTCAAAATAAGGTCGCCAACGATGTGGTTCTTTACCACTTGTATATTTATTAATACTTTTTTTTGATAGTGGCATTTTTACAAAAATAATAAAAAAAATGTAAACTAATATTTGAAATTAAATGAAATTAAACTAAAACAAGTAAAAAAAATTTAGAATTTAGATAACAATTGATAATCAATTTATTTTAATGGCCAAATGACCTGATTAATTAATAGTCTATTAGTAGTCTTTTCAAGGTCTATGACCTCAAATGACCTTAAATGACCTTGGTCATTTGCCAATAAAATGTAAGCTACGCCACTTCAGACCAATTAACCATTAGACCATCAAGACCTGGTTTATTGGTCTAATAGTCAGATAATATGTCAAAAGATCTGGTCATTTGCTAACCCTGCAAGAGATAGTGATGTATATTTTTAATATTCTAGAAATTTGTTGTCCTAGCTATATGTTCCAACCTGTTTTACATTATGTCTCAAATGTCCTATCTATTTCATCTATTTTCTATCAGCGTCTTATCAATGTTCTATCAATATTTCATAATACTGCTAAGAAATATTACATCCTTAGATATTTCTATTCATAACAAATTATCAAGAAGATTGAATGAACACTACAGTCAACTCTTGTTATAACGAACTCTATATCTTAGACCTCAACTTCGTTATAAGGCTATAGCGAAGATTTTAAGAGATTTGATTAGGCAATTCGCTTTAACAAGAGTATTTTTATTATATTTGTTCAAAAATTTCGTTATATCAAGAGTTCGCTATATCAAGAGTTGACTGTATATTCTAGCTAAACCATTACTTTAGAGTGGTGGTCAATTATTATATCAATCTAGAGTAGATTATGTGAAGTATTTCAGATCAGAAGATTTTTCGTGCATGTATTCCTATATAATAAAAAAAATATAGATTAACTAACTTATACTAAACATAAGCATTAGTTTGTATCAGCTGAATTTTTTACGAAAATTTCATGCAATTATTGAGAAGTGACCTTTGAAAATAATGGTAATCCCTTTCCAGTAAATCAAAGTTTCTTTACTTCCATTTCACAATATTTTAGTAAAATCACATCTATCCAGATCATCAGTCAGGTCTCGTATGATATATTAATTTGAAAAAAAGTTATATATGCTAACTAGTAACTCTTTATTTTCATTTGAAAATGAAACATATAATACACACTATTTAGCTAAAAACACGTAGCATGATATATTCAAGCATTTTTAATTTATTTGAACTTTTAGAACAGATTTTATATTTCTTAGTGATAGATAAATCTTTCTATCCTACTTTATTTGTTTTCTGATTATGATACAGATGTAATGTTCCTATTCTATGAAGATACATTGAGCTAAAGGAAAATGAAGTAAAGGATAAATCTTAATTAGAAAGATTTATGAAATTAGTACATGATATAGTATACCACTTATAGGAAGAATGAAAGCCAATTTATAGCTCACATATAACTTATCTTAAAATAACATACTACTATTCACTTTTAAATAAAAAAATTAAATGATTATATGCATATTTCCAATCTATAGAGAGTAAGCGTATAGGCATTGGATTTTCTTTTTGTTTGTGATATTTAATGCAATACTAAGAATAACTAGCTTTATATCACGTTAACAAATCTTTGAAATCTGATTTGTTATTAATAATTTAAAGAGATAATACTTTAGCAGGCCTTATATTTAGCAATATAATTTATTTAGATTTTAGAGAAAATATAAAGTCTGAGTCTATTGGTAAAGTTTTAAAGCTAATAGCAGAATCATATTCAAATTTAAAATATCTTAATATATTCACTTATGTAATAATTTTGCAGAAAATGATGAAGGCCTATATGCAATCACAAATTTATGTCATAAAATAAAATTTTTAAATATTTCTAAATACACAGAGTTTTCTGAAATATCAATTTATAATGTTATTCACTCTTGCTTAAGATTCTAGCAACTTGATCTTAGCTTTTATAAAATTACCAATATAACTATCGAAAAAATTGCTAGATTATGTCTTAATTTAAAATACCTCAATTTGAAGGGTGTTATAATATTAGTATAGAAGCTGTAAATCAGCTCGTTTTACTTAATTCAAATATTTATGTTAAGAATTTTGTGGATAATAGAATATATTTTAGCTTTATTAATGTATTTAGTAATTTTCTATTTAGTGCTTTTCCTAGACATAGTGCTGTTTCTAATTAGAATTTAGCCCTATATTAGGTACACATACAATCTAATTTCAATATAATTACAAGGGCAAGAGTTTTAGATAACATATTAGCTGATCAATCAGCAGAATGCTAGTTTACTACAAATTTAGCTAGTCTAGAATAGTAATCACCAGCTCAAAAAAATTTATTAGGCCACTTTTGTGTGATAAAAAATAGGTGAAACACAAGGTAAGTCTGTGTGACTAGGATGATAAATCAAATATGCTTTTTATTTTTTCGATTAAAGATACAGCATATATTATTTATGACATATATAAGCATTTTTATTATACTAGAACTATTAGAACAGATTTTATATTTCTTATCGATAAATTTCTATATTATCACACTTAGACTATTTTCTAGAAGAAAATCTGAACATATAAAGATATGCTATTGTATTTTTATCAGCTTCTAATCTACTTATTTCTCGATTAGTATAACTAACAATACTAAGATAATCTTGAATTATTCTCTTCTAAATATAAAAGTAAATGATAAATTTCCCCAAGTGGCATTTTTCAAAATGTTACATTCATAAGATCTTGTATATTTTGATATAATATTGTAAGAATAGGGTGATCATAGATATCGATTTCCTCTAGTATCAGTTTTAATTTCTCTATTAAAATAAATAACAGCCCAAATGAATCTTCAAGTGTTTTTCCTTTCTTGTTTTGATTCAATACTGTTTGATTTATATTATCATTAATAAGTCTCAGAGGGGCTATACTAAGTTTTTTTTGAATAGCTATTATATCTTTCTTCTTATATAAAAGTAATTCATATAAAAGCTCTTCATGTAGCTCATCATATAATTAAGTATTGACTTGATCAGAATTATTATTAGTATTTCTTATCATGATTGTGTTTATCTCTAGTTAAAATATATTCAATTTTGTATCTAGAATATTGATTATCAACCTGAAGTGATGATTTTCAGCTTAGAAGAATTTGCTAAGTCAGAGATTGTATGACAAAAATAAGTGAATCATAGGATGGGATTTGTGCGATATAATTTTTTTATATTCTAAAAGAAAAACATATTAATCTTTGTTCTTTATTTTTTTCCTAAACAAACATGAGAAAAATGTGAAAGAAAATCTACACGTAATACAGGATCTACTATAAAAATAAATAGTGATGGTAAAAGCATATATTATGAAAAGTTAAGAACTTTGTAATTTCAAGATTATCAAGCATAAGACCAACTATGTCTCTCTGGTAGATTTACATATGAAGATTCTATTTGCATGTACTTTCATAAATCTCTTTGTATTAAATGACAATACTAATTACATCTCATACCTTCTTATTTTTTTTCTAGTAAGATATAAAGCATGTAGGAGTATGTAAGAGTTCAGTCAACTTTTCTGCAAAAAACTTAAGGTATGTATGTACCAGAAATTATGTATCTATACTGGCGAAAATTTCTCATAATGAGCTCTTGCATTTCAGAAAATAAAATATAGTCAATATTTCTCTTAACTGCCTTATAATTTCTACTGATAGCTTCACTAGAATTTTAAACAATAATGCTAATCTAACAGTTACAATTTTTCTTGAAAATATGATCAGAAATCTTTACATTCAGATTCAATAACAGTTATCTCAGTAATTCAGAAATGTCTCATTTTATCTTTGTGCACTTTGCCCTAAATTTGTAAATTACATTGCTATGCGATAAGAGGGATTGATTTCTAATTATTTTATAAAAATCTCATTACTAGCATTATCATGTTCTTATAGAGGATGATGTATATAATTATTATGACTTGTAATGTAAAATATATTTGTAATTTTTGTATTGCAGGCTGGTTTAGTTCTAAAGGGATCCTTTCGGTAATGATTTATTTCATAAATAAAGTATTATTACAGTCACACCTCAATATAATGAAGTTGCTGATCTAGCAGATCAGGACTTCATTATATAAATCTTCATTAACATTATAATGAATTATACAGTATGTATAACGAATAATTCATTATAGTGCTAACAAATTATTCATTATAGTAGATGATTACTGATTTCATTATACAAATATAATTTTACTATGATATAATTATTCTAGAAATATTTTCACGTTATTTTATAAATTCTCGTCATTTTATTTTAACATGCAATCTTTTAATCGTTAAACAACAGTTTTATTAATTTACTTAAATTTTTTTTAAAAAAAAAATTTATTTTTTTAAAATAAAATAAAAATAAAATAAAAAATAAAATAAAAGAAAATAAAAGAAAAAATAAAAATAAAACAAAAAGAAAACTAAATGAGATGAAAAAATGAAATTAAGAGTCTGAAAAGAAACTATAAAATGAAATTAAACGAATGATAAGAAAAAAACTGAAATTTTTATTGCCTTGCAGGTATATTGTGATTTTGCCGTCTATTTCAGTTTTACTTCGCAGGCTTATTACAGTTTTATCTTATATTTCATATTTACTTCATAGTAAGCAAATTACAATTTTTCTTACAAGTATTTAAAAAAGTAAATATATTTAATATAAATCTAAAAAATCATTTAAACATTTTTAATTATTACTTGACATATCTTAGAATTAAATCCTAAAGTGATCATATAATCTTTACATAGTATAGGTTTACCTTCTACTTCTTTTTACTCTATTTTGAT